CGGCGGGGCGGGGCGGGGCGGGAGGCTGCCGGGGGCTGGTCCCGCCGGGTTTCCGGGACTGGGGCGGTATGGAGCCATCGCCGGCGGGGATGGCCGAGCGGGGCTGCCGCTTCCGCGCCAGCGGTACGGACGGGGCTGCCTCCCTCCATCCCTCCCTCCAGACCCCGGCGAGCCCGGCACGAAGAGCTGCGGGGACCCTCCGTGTCCGGAGCAGCAGGGCTCCCGGGCTGGGACAGGGAAGGGGTGGAGCTGAGGGCAGCAAGCGGGGTGCAGAGCCTGTTGCTTGTCCCTTGAGGGACGCGGTGGGTGCGGTGCGAGTGCCCCCTTCGCGGGGGGATCTGCGCCTGAGGCCCGCTGCTCTCCCTCCCCTCAGAGCACCAGCACATTCGCTACAACCCGCTGCGGGACGACTGGGTGCTCGTATCGGCACACCGGGTGAAGCGCCCTTGGCAGGGGCAGCTGGAGAAGCCGCCCCCCGAGGATGTGCCCCGCTGGGACCCCAAGAACCCCCTGTGCCCCGGGGCCACCCGGGCCAACGGCGAGGTATCTTTAGGGACACCGGGGCCCGGGTTCCCTCTGCCGTCCCCTCCTGCCCTCATCCCGTCTCTCGCCCCGGCAGGTGAACCCCCAGTACGAGGGAACTTTCGTCTTCCCCAATGACTTCCCTGCGCTGCAGCCGGACGCTCCAGAGCCTGGTAACTTTGGGGAGCAGAATAGGCTGCCGGGTACCCCCAGACTCGGGTCCTGGGGGGGCTGYAGGATGGCCTGGAGAGGCATGGGTGCTGGCTCAGCACCTTCTCCTTGCCCACTCTCTGTCCTTCCCCAGATGACAGTGATCACCCCTTGTTTCGAGCTGCCCCAGCCCGGGGTGTGTGGTAAGTACCTCCATGGCTCCAGCGGGTTTGGGTCACTATTTGTCAAGAACCTGTGGAATAATGGTGGACTGGACCTGCTCCCCTCATGAGGTGCCTATTCTGTACATATCTGCTCAATTTTGAGGTCATTCTGGGGACTTTATCGCTGTCTCTTGTTCCACTGCACCCATCAAGGCTGTGGGAGTCAATGGAGACACCTGCAGCCACAGCTATGTGTGTTTCCTCCACAGCAAGGTGATGTGCTTCCACCCCTGGTCGGACCTGACRCTGCCCCTCATGTCCCTGCCAGAGATTCGGGCTGTCATCGATGCGTGGGCAGAGCTGGCGACTGATCTGGGTGCTTCCTACCCCTGGGTGCAGGTGTGAGGCTGCTGGGGGCTGGTTTTCTGTGGGTGAAGGTGGGAYGCCAGTGCCAGGTACTCTGGCAGCACCTGGATTTGTGACCCACCTTACCTGTGTGTGGGTCTCCTGTCCCTGCCTTGTGCCCTGCTGAGCCTTTCCATGTGGGTGTGAGGCTCTGTTCTGCTGTGGGTTCTCCTCTGCTGTGCTGGGGACACAACGACAGCCTGCAGTGGGGACCCTGTGKCTGGGACCTGCTGGCTGCACCTCTTCCTCCTCTTGTAGATCTTCGAGAACAAGGGAGCCATGATGGGCTGCTCCAACCCTCACCCCCACTGCCAGGTGAGGCTGTCCCTCCTGTGACCTGGCCAAACTACAAGTCCCTGTGGGTAACCCTSCAAAACAAGCCCCGGGGGCATATGTGAATGGCCATGCTCCTGCCCTTGTTCCTAAGCTTTTTGCAGTGATTACCCCCGTGCCTGCCCTGTCACCGCCCCTCCTGGGGACTGCCACATGCCAGACTCTCCACCTGGTGGCAGCAGGGACCCGCGGATGGGCAGCGTGGCTCGGTGTAATGCTGCATGTGAGGGGTTCGAGTACCCCAGTCCTGTAYCCCAATGTCCCTCCCAGGTGTGGGCCAGCAGCTTCCTCCCAAATGAGGCGTGCCTGGAGGACCGCACGCAGCGCCAGCACCTGAGCCAGCACGGCGTGCCCATGCTGCTGGAGTATGCTGAGCAGGAGGCTCACCGAAAGGTGAGGACACCGTGGTTGTTGTCTGTATCCCCTCCCCAGGAGCTGGTTGTATGCCAAGGTGGGCTCCCCAACCCCCAGGAGCTGGGCCCAGGAGTGCCCTGGGGTGCTGGGACTGTGTCTGTCCCCATCAAGCTCCATGTATAACAACCCCCTGYAGCACTGCAGGCTGGGCACAGTGGCTGGACAGTGGCCAGGCAGAAAGGGTCCTGAGGATGCTGTTCAACAGCTGACTGAACGTGAGCCAGCAGTGTGCCCACCTGCTCAAGAAGGGCAGTGGCATCCTGGCCTGGACAGGGARTAGTATGGCCAGCAGGAACAGGRAAGTCWTTCTTCCMCTGCACTCAGCACTGGTGGGGCCACGCCTTAAATACTGTGAGCAGTTCTSGGTCCCTCGATTTAGGMTTGATGTTGAGATGTTTGAACACGTCCAGAGAAGGGCAACAAGGCTAGAACACAAGCCCTATGAAGAGCAGCTGAAGGAACTGGGGTTGTTTAGCCTGGAAAATRGGAGGCTGAGGGGAGCAACTCCCTGAAAGAAGATTGTGGCCAGGTGGGGTTGGTCTGTTCTCCCAGACAGCCAGTGACAGGGCAAGAGGACACAGTCTTGAGCTGTGCCAGCACGAGTTTAGGCTAGACATTAGGAAAGAATTCTTCACAGAAAAWGCAATTGGACATTGGAATGGGCTGCCCAGGGAGGTGGTGGAGTCACCATGCCTGGAAGTGTTTAAAGGAAGACTGGATGTTGCACTCTGTGCCATGGTTTAGTTGATAAKGTGGTGTTAGGTCATAGGTTGGACTTGATGATCTCAAAGGTCTTTTCCAACCYTGTTAATGCTGTGATTCTGTGACCTGCAGGAGCGGCTGGTGGTAGAGAATGCGGACTGGCTGGTTGTGGTGCCATATTGGGCTACCTGGCCCTACCAGACCCTGCTCCTGCCCCGCCGCCATGTGTGCCGCCTCCAGGACCTCAGCGGCAGTGAGAGGGACAGTGAGTGGCTCTGAGCCTTGTATCCCATCCCTTGTTTTTTGGGCTTGACCTTAGGAGGCAGCTGTGCTAGTTCTGGAGGGCTTATGTCCTTGGGGTGGGGGCTGAGGAGGGGGAATAGCTCCGCTGTTTTGTTATGATAAGAGCTTGGTGTCTGAGCACAGCCAGCACTGATGGTGGGACTGGTGTCCATTTGGGGTGGTGAAGCGCGTGGTGCTCCCTGCTTTTGGAGGGTGCTTCTCCTGCTGCATTGCTCAGGCTCCCTGCAGGAGTGTGGAGGCATGGGAATTACCAAGTGCATCCCTCCTGCCTGTCACTGATGTCCACCCYGGGCGAGGTGCTGAGGGTGACCCCACTGCTGGCCAACTCAGGGTGCAAATCCCTGTTGCTTTTCTGCAGGCCTGGCCTCCATCATGCAGAGGCTGCTCATCAAGTACGACAATCTCTTCGAAGTCTCCTTCCCCTACTCCATGGGCTGGCACGGTGAGTGGCGTGWCTCCACAATCCTCTCATGCACATCCCCGTCCCTTCCCTGTGGCTCATGAGGTGCCTCTATCCCCGGCAGGAGCCCCCACAGGCCCCTACCTGGAGGAGGACTGCAAGCACTGGCAGCTCCATGCCCACTACTACCCACCGCTGCTGCGCTCGGCCACYGTCCGCAAGTTTATGGTGGGGTACGAGATGCTGGCGCAGGCGCAGAGGGACCTCACTCCAGAGCAGGTGAGTGCAGCTCAGGGGCGTTGGAGGAGCCAGGGGACTGTATGCCAGGGCTGTCCCTGGGAACAGCTCCTGGATGTCCCTTGTGCTGTGCCCTGCAGGCAGCRGAGCGCCTGAGGAGCCTCCCTGAGGTGCACTACAAGAAGAGGGCAGAGGAGCCGTGATGGGGAGCAGTGGAGTATTCCAATCCTTGGATGTGAGTGTGAGGAGGGATCTTATCACTCTCCACAACTATCTGGCAGGAGGTCATAGACAGGTRTTGGGGGGTTGGTCTTTTCTCCTAGGTAACTAATGACAGGACAAGCAGGAACAGCCTAAAGCAGTGCTAGGGCAGGTTTATAGTGGATATTGGGGAATATTTCTTCACCGAAAGGGTGGTCAGGCATTGGAACAGGCTGCCCAGGGAAGCGGTGAAATCACATGCCTGGAAGTATTAAAAAAATGTGTAGATGTAGCACAAGGCTTAGTGGTGGCCTTGACAGTGCTGKGCTGATAAGTTTTAGATTCTATCATTCTGTGTGCTCAGTAAGGCTAGGAGTCACCTGGGGGTGGTGCAACTGAGGTCTGGGAGTTCATGTCACTTGTGAGCCCTCTGTACTCACAGATTCTCCTGAACTTTGTCACAGCTTGGCTGGTTTTTGGGACTGGTTTTGCCTGTTCAGGTACTCAAGGCCTAATCCTGTGGCATCCTCGTGTAGGTGGTGTTGTTCCTTGTCTCTTTCACCATCCCAGGCTCTGTCTTCAGCCTCCACGGCATGCTCCTGCCACCACTCAAGGRCTTGCCCTCCTTACCAGTCCAGTCTCGCTGGTGAGACTGCGAGTTCCTCTGCCCCATGGAGGGCACAACTCCCCCGGACAATAAAACCTGGAAGCTAAGTGCCTCTACCTGTGCTCTCRTGGCTCTCGGCCCTAGGTGGGAGGTTTGGGGTCTCTGGTGAGGACCCCCCAGCTGCTGGTGAGGGATAACACTGAGGGCTCAGGGGATGTGCATGCAGCCCAACACCTCTTGCTCCTGTCCCTGCCTCTGCTTTTGCTCCTCTTCCTCCCTGGGGGGAGCTCTGAGTCTGTCTCTGAGTGCTGCAGTCTTGTGGAGGAGTGAGAAACAGGGAGGAGGAATGGATGCAGCCCAGGGCTTAGCCAGCTCTTGGGAGAGGGCTGAGTCCTGGCAAACTTGCTGCATGGTGGCTGCTGGCTGAGGTGCTCAGCCCTGGAGCTGTTCTCTCCATGCTCTCTGGCTTGGACTGCTGGTCTACAGCCCTGTGCTGCCTGCTGCATGTAGCCAGGAGCTGGTTCATCACTGACCCAGAGGCTGCCAGGGAGTCCAGCTCTCTTCCAGGTGCTGCTGTCCCCTTCCCTGTGTCCTCCCACGGTGTGGGATAATGGCAGCCCGGTTCCTGGGCTGAGCAAGGGGATGCTGCATTCACTTGTCTGTGCTCTGCTCCCTCTCAGCCCTTCACCCTGGAAAGCCCTGGGGCTGTGAGGGGTCATGGACAGTGATGCCACCACAGTTGATGTGGGGGGATGCCAAGCACTGTCTGCCCTCACATCTCCATAAACAGTTTTTATTTGTCACTAATGAGCTGTTCTCACAACTCTCTAATGAGACCCCTCTCCTTGTCAGGTCTACGAGTGAGCTCCTGGGGTCTAGAAATTTCTTTCAAAGAGAGARATGCTCTCCTCCTCCCTCCAAGACAACAGTTTGTGGGGATGGCTCTGTTCCCTGTGCCCCATCTGTGCGCTCCTCTCCCATCCCGATTCATGGGGCTGGGACAGATGGAAGGGCCTCCTGGCCTGAGTGATGCTCAGAGCCACTGGCCGTGATGCTGGATGTCCTCCCACATGCTGGTCCTATCTTTCTGCCCCATTGCCTCATCCCAGAGCCCACAAACTTCCCCTCCCCTGACTTCAGGACTCCCAGCTGCTCCAGGGCTGTGGGGAGGAGCTGATGGCTGACCTTGAGTTTGGAGCCGTGCTCGTACACAGCCTSACCAGGACATCGGGATTGCCCAGCTGGGAGTCTGGCCTCTACCAAACTGATTTCTGCCCTGCTGGGACCGGCRGAATCCGTTTGGTCTCTGCCGCCGTCCCGATCGCAGCCCTTCCCATTGCAAGAAGCGCCTTCACTGCATCCTGCGAACTTCCCCGCTTATTCTCCAGGGTCCTGGGATAAACGGCAACAAATTGCCTTAAGTGTGGCAATCCAGCTCGGGGTAATTAGACGCCGAACCGGTTGTAACGAAGCTAGTCATCTCCCTGCAYGCACAGTTAGCTCTGATTTAATGGCCCGGCGGCTCCCAGCCCGGGCTGCCGCGCCTCGGCCCGCGGCCGTAAATGAAACTCGCAGTTAAGTCAAGCGGTATTAAACTTTACAGTCGCCGTCTTTAAAAACGGGACTCTCTCCGATAAATCAGGGCAAGTGGGATTGTAAATATCGAGGCAGGATCCATATTGCTTAATTAAACAGCTCCTAATGAACAGCCTGTTTGTTGTGTTGTGATTTAGGATGGAGGCTGGGGAGGCAGCGTGTGCTGAGGAGTGGTGGTGYCCATGCTGGTGTGCCCTCTGCTGCAGGTACCACCTGTTCAAGTTTACCTCCTGCAAAAAAAATCTCAGAGATATCCTGAGAATTAGTTGGTTTTTTTTAAATTAAAACAGAATCCTGCCCTAAAAATTGAAACAGGGTGAAAGCCGCAGTTAGAGAAGGAGCAGGGCATACAGCCAGGTGTGACGGCTYGAGCCTGGTTATACTGAGCTTTGTGCTTCTCCACAACAGATCTAGCCTTCTCTTGCCCTCACATTTTCAGGTTGTGCACGGGGTTATGAAAGGCTGGAAGGGAGCAAAGAGCCTTTGCCATGACACAGGGAGGCGTCAGGGTGGTGCAAATGGAGCTGCTGGGGGATGGAAAGGCATTACGATTCATAGGAGCCATTGCTGGTGTGCTGTAAAGCCCCAAAGCCTTTTTATATTTTGGTAGTTGCAGACCAGTTGTAATTAAAAAGTGATTTATTGCAGGGAGATTAAAAAAGGCTAGCTTGTGAGGGATGGGGGAGTGGAGGGTCTACGTGTGTGTTGGTACCCAGCTGTTGCTCTTGACCTGGGAACTTCAAAGGGAAACTGAGGCCCACTGGGATTCCCTGTAAGGATGTTTCATGATGCCACTGTATTTCTGCAGGGGAGCTGTTGCAAATMGTGGGAAAAGTATCTCTGTGGCTGGGCCACCCTTGTCCTGAGTCTCCATTTCTCAGCATCAGGGCACAYAGGTCCTCTGCCCTGAGCTGCTCTGGTAGACTGAACAGGGCAGGTGAGGGGSGGAGTGAGAGGACCTGAAGCATGGAATTAAAGAATTAAAATTTGTCGGGGTCCCACAGAGGTGTTTGCACCCTCTGGGATGCATTAATGGGTCTGTGAGGGGTTAGGAAAGGGACAGAGTGCTGGTGCGATGGGCTGGTATGTCCTGTGCTCTGCAAGGAGCAAGGAATATGCCCAGTGGGGGATCCAGAGATGCAGAGATGCTTGAGAGGGTATGGTCAGGAATTTATTTTAATTTCTATCCCATTTTCTGATGCTACTGAAAGAAATGTGTCAATCTGCTGAGGCATGTGGCTTCCCCTRAGCTGCTTTTTCTCTACTGAAACGAGCCAATGTGCTCACCGGGGCTGTGGCAGTGGCCTTGTCCATCATCGTGTCTGTCCTGTGTGTTTGGGATACCCCAGCTCTGCTGGCTCTGAGACTGACTCCTTCTGTGGCCACGGGTGAGCCCTGGGATGCTGCTCTGGGATATTGCCCTGGTGCACATTTGGCAGGAGCACATCACTGTAGAGGGGAACTGCTKGGGGCACCTTCATCACCTTTGGTGGAGTGTCCATGACCTTGGCATCTGCCAAGGGCTGCAGAGCTGCAGGCAACCTGCAGATCCTGACTCTCCCATCCTGCCCACCCCTCTTTGTCTTTTCCCTGCCTTCCAGTRCAGGTGAGACAATAAATATTGAGCTAGGGAAGTTAATGTGTGACCAGTGCGTTTTAATCGGAAAGAAGTTACGAGTCGAGGCTTGCTGGCTCCTACCTTACTGCAGCTTTACTGTCCTTTYTGATACCAGGTTAATGGCTGTCATTTCATTCCAGTTTTACTGTTGGTTTTGCCCTTATTGTTGAATTTCTCCTTGTCTGCTGCTGCCTGTGGCTGAGTGCAATAAGAAAGAAATAAGTARATTGTTAGAGGAGAAGAGAGGAAGAATGAAATGAAGGAAGAAATGGAGGAAGGGAGAGAGAAAGGAAGGAGAGGAGGGTGGGAAACAGGGAGGGAGAGAAGGCTAAATCCCTCCYATTTTTATTTTAAAGGCATCATCAGGCACTTACCATGAAAACAGTTAATAAATTTAGGTAGATGCTAATCACTCTGGTGTTCTGAAGAAGGCAGGCTTCATGCAGTGGGGAGATTCTGTGTGCCAGGGTAATGGAAGTCAAAACTCAGACCCCTTTTAGATCTTGCCTTTGCTGGACATGCAAGACCAGCTGGGGCAGTAAKCAGCACCCAGTTTCCCTTGGACCACGTGCTGCATCTCCCCTGGGTTTGGCAGCTGCCTTGAACAGGGACTTTCCAAAGGGTTCAGACCAGCAGGAAACAATTTGGGAGGTGGCTTGCCCATGTTTCAGACWGCTGGTGTTTTTTCCTCTGCTGATGGACACTGAGTCCTTCCTGCAAGGCATTTTCAGAGCCTTTGGGGACCATGAGTTGTGGGACGGCTGCTGGTCCCAGGTGGACGCAGTGGGAGGGTCTGGGTGCTGCCTAGCAAGCTTTGCATGGATTTTAGGATGGCAGCCCTGAGGGTGGAGTTTAGTTGGTTAATCAATCTGATAATGCAGGTAATTAAACACTGTCACACAGCATCCGTGTGGTTACTAAGAACTGGTTTCTCCCAGGCCCCTCCCCAAATTTCCTGTATGCCTGGTGTCGGGGAGATACCTTGGGGCTCAGCTCTTGKCAATGGGGACCTGTCTTGCGGTTTGAACCTTTCCCATCCTGGGACCCTATCCCAGAGTCAGTGGCCTCTGTTTAGAGCAAGAGAAACAACATGAGGATCAGGATTCCAGCTGGATTTAACCCAAACAAAACTGTCTGGGGMGGGAGAAGGAGCAGGTATGGGTGGGAGAGCAGGAGACTGGTCTGGGATAGGGGCAGCCAAAATGTTTGACCACAGAAGGGATTTATCTGCCAACAGTGGGGATGCTGGGAGGAGTCTGGAGCCCTTACAGCACCCAAGGTGTGGCACGGCTGAGACTGGGCATCCCGGCTGTGCCTGGCACACCCCTGCTGCTGGAGCCAGCTGTGAGAGCTCACAAGCATCTGTGCCTGCCCTGTGGGGAGGGATCCCCCTTCATCCTGATGTTCCAGAGAAGAAATCTCTACACGTTTGCTAATTATCCTGAGTGATGCTGAGAAGTCTGCTACAAAGCCCCAGGAGCAGCGAGATGTTGCAATGCCAGGATGGATCCAGGGTGGAGAATCATCCCCTGGGTGTGCCTGGGCATAAGGTGACTCCTGGCAGAAACAGTGCCCTTGGGAGAGTAGAGGAAGTGGAGAGATACTAATTAGATGCTAATAAAAAAGTAATTAGTAGGTTTCCAGCTTTCCTGGTGCCCCTGGGCTCACTTGCCGAGCTCCAAGCCAAAAAGGTGGTTTGCGTCCCACGGGATCTGGCTGGAGCAGGGATGAACCAGCTGCTGCTCCCCACACATGCTGACAGGCTTGACCACAACAAAATGTCCTCATAAATTGCCCTCATGAAATGAAACTCGCCAAATAAAAGCCAAAAGTCCATTTGCAGCCTGTTTGCTTTTAGCGATTAATCCCTTGCTTATTTTGTCTCTATCCCCACATTTGTCTCTATCTCAGGGCAGCTCCTCCACTCCCTCAGGGCTTTGTGCTTGGGTGGAGTCACAGAACTCCCAGGCTGCYTGTGCTGTCCCTRTKGCTGCCTGTGCTGTCCCTGTGGAAAAGGCACCGCCCCACCTYGTGCCTCAGTTTCCCYATGGCTCAAACAGGATCAATTGCACAGAGGCCAGGCTCCCTCCTCTGACCAGGCAGCTGCAGCCCCCATGRCAGCCCTGCAGATGCCTCTGGGYTTTAACAGGATCCTTGGGACACCCTCAGTGTGTGACACCTTTGCAGTGCTTCTGGCTTGGGTGGATCCACCCCATCTGGCACAGGTCTTGCAGATATGATGAACACAGATTTCCAGCTCTGGGGCTGGCTGCTGCCCCAAAACAAAGCTGTGCAACAAACCCCTGTGTTGGTGCACCCTAACTGCTGGCTTAATATTTAATTTATACGATAAAAAAATATTTAGCTTTAATTTAATTTTTAAAATTAAATATTTAATTCTCACACGGGCAAAAAACAGAATGAGAGCGAAGCCAGGATGGGTCCCCAGGATGCCAGCTTGCTTTTTAACCCTTCCCGTCCTGCTTTCAAATTCCTCTTGGGATCAGAGATGCTCAAAAAGCATTTGTCTGGTTCCAGCTGCTTCCAATATGCTTCAGTAGCAGCAGGACCTTGCTCCAGCACAGCCTGTCAGGTTACCTCAGAAGTAGCAGATCCATTGGCACAGGAGAAA